TGTCATCTCTTTCCTTCTCTCTTTTACACATATATCTTCCTCCCTCCCTCCCTTTCTATCCCTCTTCCTGTCTCCTTTTCTCTCTATCTTCTCTTTACTTCTCTCTTTACAAGTATATTTTCCTTCCTTCTTCCCTTCCTGCCTTCCTCTCTCCCTTTCTGTCCCTCTTCCTATCTCCCTTCCGCTCTGTCTCCGTCCCTCCCTTTCTATCCCCCTTTCTTTCTCCCTATTTCTCTCTCTCTTCCTCCTTCCCTCTCTTTTCTGCCTCCCTTCCTGCCTCCCTTTCTCCCTTCCTCTCTGTTATATCTTTCCTTCTCTCTTTACACGTATATCTTCCTTCCTCCCTCCCTTTCTATCCATCTTCTTATCTACTTTTTTCTCTGTCGTCTCTTTACTTGTATATCTTACTTGTATACTTGTATACAAGTATATCTTCCTTCCTTCCTTCCTTCCTTCCTTCCTTCCTTCCTTACTTACTTACTTACTTACTTACTTACTTATTTTGTGTCTAGGGAACACAAGGTTGAGGCAGTCCATTGTAAAGAGATGAAGCAAAACTGCCCTTAAAAGTAGATTAACTGTCTTTTAACACGTCATTGGGAGTAAAAAAACAAAACAAAACCCAATGGCTAATGGAAAATAGGGAGCTTTCATATCAACATAGAGATCTTTTGATATATCTATTCATCTAACATTTCTTTATCCCTCCCATTCATACGGCCGCCAACCTGAACAAGTGATACCGGGAGGCTGTATTGCGTTTGTCCAAGTGATACTTGGACGAACTGTTGTGACTACAAAAAAACCAAAATCCTAATCATCCCATTTCTTCCTGGCAGAACCTTTTAAAGAAGCAAGTTGAGACCAGGACAGCCGACGGTCGGCGAAGGATCACACCGCTCTGCATAGCTCAGCTGGACACGGGGTACTGTTTTCAAAGTATTTTGGACTTTTTATTTTGTTTTGAAACCAAACGGTAGCATTGGACAAAATGCCTCCCACCTTGCAAAGCCCCCTCCCCACCCCCAGCCCTAGGATAATGCAGGCCAGACCAAACCACTTTCAAAAGGATCCCCCCCCCCCTCTCCATTCTGCTAGGAACACGCAGAACGAACAAGATGTTTCCAAATATCACCTCTCCTTTTTTTAAAAAAAAAAAATATCCGCAGATTTCAGCCCGTACAAATGGTCCTCAGCTTACGCCCAGAATTGGGAACAACGGGGGGCTCTTGTTGTTTAAGCGCGTTCAGTGAATTGTGCACCCAATCGCACGATCTTTGTCCCGCAGTCGTTAGGCAGGTCGCCGCAGTCACTAAGCGAACCGTGCTTTTTGTTAAATAAATCTGCCGCTCTGGTTCACCGAACCATCCTGGGTCTTTAACACGGCCGTTAAGCGAACCCTGTCTTTCTTCCCCCATGAATTTTGCTTGTCCGAAGCCAGTTGGCAAGGTTGCCAGCGGCCATCACAACAACCCCCCCCCCCGGATGCTACCGCTGTCATCAATGGCCTGTCGGTTTTCAAATATTTTAATTTTGATCCTGTGACCCAAGGACCCCTGCGACCGTTGTTAGTGTGAGGACGGGTCATAAGTCACTTTTCTGTCGCAACTTTGAACGGTCACTAAACAAAGGCTTGTAAGTTGTAGGCCACAGTCCTGTTTCAATTATATAGAAATTGTCCCGATTGGTACGGCGGGGATAACGAAGTGATGCAGTGGCTTAGAGGTGGATCTCTCCCCTCACAATCAGGAGGCTGTGAGTTCAATCCTAGGTAGGGGCAGAAATCTCTCTCTGGGCACACTGAGACTATATCTGCTGAACAAAACTCCGCATTGGCGGCAGGAAGGGCATCCGGCCATTCAAACGCTCTGCTAGCTCCATTCAGTTGCCCAGACTCTACCCGGCAAGGGATTATGGGGTTCATTAAAAGGAGATGATGGTCCGGCGGGGATAATATGCCCCGATTTCCCCTGACCGCCTTTCTTTTTCCCCCCACAGGGATTTTTCGACAGCCCTCTTTAACAGCATCCCACTCTCGGGGTCTTTAGCCGGGTCCATGATGTCAGCTTCCCAGACCAATCAGCTCATAGCGTTAGATTACAACGCGGCCAACTCCCTGGGCACCGTTAAGCCTGCCTTAGAGCCCATGGCAGCGGCCGCTAAGTCGGCGGAAGACGTAGCCAACAAGGATGGGTGAGCATCAAACGGAAGGCCTCCTTACGAATTGGGCGGGGGAGGGGACTAAGGACCCGTTCACTGCAGATCTATGGGTTGGCTTAGTGAGGAGGAAGTCCTGTATATATATATTTAAATTATTTTGAATAATTAAATGGAATTGTTCCACAGCGAGCTCTCCTGTGGCAAATTGGCCCTGGCCAAGGCGAGTAGGCGGTAGTGAGTTGGCCGCAGCAAGTTGTCCTCCTTTGCTTGCTCCTAGAACCTAGATACACAAACGGAAATTCCTCGGGTTAGGTCAGGTTAAGTTTCTGAAGGACTTGGATGTGGCTTCCCTTGATGCCTCTCTCGTAGGTTGTCCCCGGTCTCGAATGTTAACCCGTGCAAAGCGAGCCCATCCACTGGTCTGATCCGGATCTGTCCCAGTCCCGGATACTCGAGAGCCGTGTTTCTCAACCGTCTACGGCTTGCAGAGAGGTGGGCTTCAACTCCCAGAATTCTGGCTGGGGAATTCCGGGAGTTGAAATCCACCGCCTCCAAGCTGCCTCCGTTGAGAAACGCCGCTTTAGAAAAGGGATGGCGCTTGGGTTGAGTGTGGCCCTTGCCCCTACATCCAATGGGGTAAGGGGTAGTAGCCACGGCGGTTCGTGATGTTATTTCTTGCCAATCCTGAGCAGAGTTGGACCCCTGCCGGATACGTGGGATGCTTCAAATACGCTTTTTGCTTTTTCTCTTTTCCCAGTGTGAACACTACCTCTACTTCAGCTGCTCTCCCGGCCTCTTCGTCCTCCGTGATGCCCGCCTCTTCTAAGATTGAGCCCATGAAGGCTTTCGATTCTCGGTTTACAGAGCGATCCAAAGCAACCTCAGGGACTTCCCCCGTCTCGCAAGCCAATCAAGTTACCTTGGACAGGTGAGATGCAGAACTGGAAAAAAAAAATCATTGCAGTTGGACGCCTTTTTTTTTAAAGCAAAGGAGAAAGCACCCAGCTAGTCAGTCTCCTCCGTTTTGCAGCCCAGAGAATGCTGGTTTAGGGAGATAGGATAGGCACTTCACAAATTTAAATGCTCACTAGATGGCAGCAAAGTGACCCAGAAACACTCATTCTTTGGCGCACTCTAGTGGTCAGCCAACTGTTTACATTCTTGATTGGAACCCTAATTTATTCATTTACTTGCATCTCGCCTTCATAATTTTTAGAAATAAATCAAAACCGCAGACATATTCCTCCTATTTTCTCCACCACAACTCTGTAAGGGGGGGGGGGGCTCCCGGCTGGGGCGGGGGGGTTGGACTAGATGACCTACAAGGTCCCTTCCAACTCTGTTCATCCGAATGTCTGTTTAAGGTGCCTTGAGCTGAGAGTGACTGGCCCAAAGTCACCTAAACCCAACCAGCTTTCATGCTTAAGGCGAGACTAGAACTCAAGAGTCTTTCGTTTTCTAGCCTGGTTCCTTAACGACTGGATCACACTGTGGTTGTTGTTGTTTTATTCTTTTTCCCGCAGACTGAAGGAGCAGAACTCTATTCGGGAAAGCAAGCCCAGGGATCTCCTAGAAAGCAGCAGCGATAGCGAAGAAAAGCTAGCCATCAAACCCTCGTCGCTCTCCAAGCGAAAGCTGGACCTTGAAGTCGAAAAGAAGAAGAAAGGAAGACCTCGGAAAGACTCCCGGCTCATGCCTGTTACTTTAACTGTTCAGGTAACCCAAAAGGCAGTAGCCATCTCTCTTCGATACACAACCACAACCCCCTTTTTTTTTTCTCCCCCATTTCAGAAACCAGGCTGCATCTTCTTAATCTAGCTGCAGGCACATTTAAGCCAATCATCATGGTTTATTGCATAGTGGCTGTCAGGATTCTGGCAGTTACCCCCATTTAAATCATGAGTCTCGAGAACTTCCAAAACTTCAAAAGGATTTATTGGGATTTAACATGCCTGGGTGTAGCCGACTCTGAGACACATCATTCATTGCCACCCTTGACCCTGGTTTTCCCTCCATCCCCGGGTGTATTATAATTCATATTCTCCAATGGGACACATCCATAGCCCAGAGTCATCAATCATGTACTCCAGTTATATATTTGCGCAGCAGAAACTTCAGCCATCTATTATTATTATTATTTGATTTGTCAATCGCTTACAAGATAATAGGTATGAGTATATATAGATAGTTATGAATACATGAAATGGGTACATATAAGAAAAAATAAAAGAAACAATAGGACAGGGACGGTAGGCACGTTGGTGCGCTTATGCACGCCCCCTACAGACCTCTTAGGAATGGGGTGAGATCAATAATAGACAGTCTAAGGTTAAAGTTACTATCTCTGAAAAACGATTTATGGCATGCACGTTCTATTTCCAAGCAAACCTCTTTCCCCCCACTTCCTTTCTGTTGGCAACTCTGAAAAGACCATAGAAATATTTTATGAGTTGACATTGGCACTGTTGATGTTGCCTAGTTGGGTAATGAGGCATTTGCAAGAAAAACAAGCCAAGCTCAGAAAGCACCATAGTTCAACCTGAGCTGCCAATATTCTATTGGCTTACGGGTGTCTGATGGCACAGGGATTAAATGCAACATTGCAGGCAAACTCTGGAATTCCAAAGCCTGGAATTCGATCCTAATGGGGCTCAAGATTGACTCCTCCTCCCATCTTTCCGAGGTTGGTAAAATGAGGACCCGGATTGTTGTGGCCAATCTGCTGGCATCGTTAACTACTCAGAGAGTGCTATAAAGCACTGTGAAGCGATATATAAGTCCAAGTGCTATCGCTATTGAGAACAGTTGGTGGTCTCTATATCTCTACTTGATGTAATCAATTCCACTCTTCTAAGAACTGATTTTTAACAGATTAACAGAGTTGGAAGGGACCTTGTAGGTCATTTAGTCTAACCCTCCACCCAAGCAGGTGATCCTACACCATTTCTGACAGATGGCAAGTCCAGTCTCTTCTTGAAAGCTTCCAGGGATGAAGCTCCCACAACTTATTTAGGCGAGCTGTTCCATGGGTTGATGGTTCTCACTGTCAGAAAGTTTCACCTTATTTCCAGGTTGAATCTCTCCTTGTTCAATTTCCATCCATTATTCCTTATCCAGCCTCCAGATGCCTTGAAAAATAGCTCCTCTCTGTGGCAGCCCCTCAAATATTGGAAGACTGCTATCCTGTCTCCCCTGGTCCTTCTCTTCACTAGACTAGCCAGGCCCAGTTCCTGCAACCGTTCTTTGCATCTTTTAGTCTCCAGTCCCCTCATCATCCTAGTTGCTCTTCTCTGCACTCTTTCTAGAGTCTCGACATCTTTTTTACAGTGTGTTGACCAAAACTGGATGCAGTACTGTAGGTGTGGTCTTACTAAGGCTTTATAGTGTGGTATTAGTACCTCACTTGATCTTGATTGTATCCCTCTGTTAATGCAACTTAGAATTGTGTTGGCTTTTTTGGCTGCTGTCGCACACTTCTGGCTCATGTTTAATTGGTTGTGCACTAAGACTCCCAAGATCTCCTAAGATTTTTTTTT